GTGTTGGCACATACCTTTAATCCCAGGACTCAGGAGACAGGTAGATGGATTTCTGTAAGTCCAAGACCATCCAGGACTACACAAGAGTGAATCAGTCTAAAAGAGTAACTGAGCTCACACCTTTAATCCCAGCACTAAAGACATACATAAAGAAGGAAAGGGTTCATGTGGCAGTTAGTCTCCAGCCCCATTGAGGATAGGAAGAGATTTTTGTTTCCAGTCAGGGAAGACAGGATCTCCATTTCAGCCTTGGTAGAGGTAAGAAAGAGATGCTGACTGGCTGCTTTGCTTATCTGATCTTCAGCTTGAACCCCAGTATCTGTCTCTGGATTCCATTAATCATGTTACATATAGTCAGAGGGAAAGGAATATACTAAAGTGTCGAGTTTAGCCTTCCCCACCATCTGCCTGGACCTTGCCACAGTTGCAGTTCCCAAATAACACACAGGACGCAGTATTAATTATGAAGCTGTTGGACGTTTGCTTGTTTCTTACTGGCTACCTCTGACTTAAGTATTTAACCCATAATTGTTAATCTAAGTCTTTCTCTTACTGGAGAAAAGGGTCCTGACCTCTTACTCCTCTGGTGGGCTACGTTGTGTCTCTCTTTCCCAGAATCCTCCTCAACCCCTAGTCCCACCTATCTTGCTTCCCTATTGGTCAACAGTGCTTTATTGACATATACACAGGACTTCCCCATCACTAAAGCTGTAAAATTGTCATGGAAATGAACAAAGGAGGAAGAGTATTTAAGTGAAGGACATTACATAACCAGGGAGAGGGCAGATCCAAAGGACTTGTAAAAGCCCACATAGCATAGATTCCATCCCCAGCATCCCCAAGGCAACTACTTGTTTCATACTAATCTCTGTTTCTCTATTTCTTCATTACTGCTAGCTTTAGTGTTACTCCCCACCTATGCTTCTCCCTCTCTTGTTTTAAAGAAGTGTCTTATACTGTAGCCCTGGCTGGTCTAGAACTTGCTATGTAGCCTAGGTTGACACTAAAATCATGGCACTCCTCCATCCTCTGCCTCCACAGAGCTGGGAATACAGGTATGTGATAGAGTGGTGGTTAATTGTTATTGTGAACTTGGCTATATTTAAAATCACCATGGAAACACACCTCTGGAGACATCCAGAAGTTTAACTGAGCAGGGAAGGCCCATCCTAAATGTGGGGGGCATCATTTATGAGCTGTGATCTGAGACTACATAAAAATGAAAAAAAAATGAGCTGAACACCTTTGCTCCTTACTCTCTCTGCTTCCTTATTATTAATGGAATTGTGGGAAAGTTATGACAGTGGCTGTCTTAGTTAGGCTTTCTATTGCTGTGAAGGGACACCATGACCAAGGCAAGTCTTATAAAGGAAAACATTTAACTGACTTGCAGTTTCAGAGGTTTAGTCCATAGTCATTATTAAGAGACATGGAGACAATGCAGGCAGACATGGTGCTGGAGAAGGAGCAAGATCTAAGCAAGCTCAAGCCACACAAAATGCAGCATAGAGGAGAGAAGGTAGTAGGTACCAAATCCTACTCTTACCTAAGGAGCTATTAGTAGCTGCAGGAAGAGGGACAGTCAGTTTTAATTATGTGGCCCCTTGTACGTTCAACCACATCTTGAGACTAGTTGGGAAACACAAAATAGACTAAATGGGGAGGAGTGGTTCCAAGTTGGGTCGGAAGACAGGTGTCGCACCTGCTGTGCGGCCTGCATCCAAGAATGTAGCGAGGTGGTCGGGATAGATGACACAGAGACCGGTCGGTTGCTTTAAGAAAACTTTATATTTCCCAAGTCAGCTTAGGAGGAGACCCCAGTTCGCTTAGGAGAGCTCTCAGGCGAAATCTCAGGAGAAGTCTCCCCAAGAAAAAGGGCTTCCCTTTTTAGGGACTCCTGCCATTCATCTACATACCATTCTTTCCTCCTGGCTGGTGGTCTAATCTCCGGCCCCAGAATCGGGGAGACACCCCAGGGAAACAGGAAGAGGCATCTAGCCATAGGAGGTGTGAACGGCATGGTATTTCAGTGAGCCAGCCCTTATCTGAGCCCTATCAAGCTTTAAAGCACTGAATTGTTTTCAGTAAACATTACATAGATGCCTGCTCCCAGGCCGAAGGGGAAGTGGGTTTCTGCTCAAGGTCTGGTGTCTCCACAGACAGGGAAGGTTTGAGAGAGGGATGAGTTGAGGGAAGTGTCTTCATTAATTTTAGACAGGGTCTTAACTTTTTGCTTTTAGATTTAAATTACATGTAACTGTGTGTCTGCATGTGAATATATGTGTCCATATGTGGTGCACTCAAAGGTCAGAGAAATCAAATCCTTTGGAGCTAGGGTTTCAACCTGTCCTGGGTGCTAGGAAATGAACTTGTCTCCTTTCTAGTGGTAGCACAAACTTTTTTTTAAAATTTAAATTAGAAACAAGCTTGCTTCACATGTCAATCACATCTCCCTCTCCCTTCACTCCTCACCCAACCTCCCAGCCCCCTACCCAATCCCCACTCTGCTCCCCAGGGAGAGTGAGGCCCTCTGTGGGGTTCTCCAAAGTCTGTCATATCATCCGGGGCAGGGCCTTGGCCCTCCCCCATGTGTCCAGTCTGAGAGAGCATCCCTCCATGTGGAATGGGCTTCCAAATTCCATTTGTATGCCAGGGCTAAATACTGATCTAGACCCAAGGCCCCAAAGACTGCTGAGGCCTATTCACTGATACACATGTTCAGGAGGTCTGGATCAGTTCCATGCTGGCCTCTCAGCCATTAGTCTGGGGTCCATGAGCTCCCCCTTGATCAGGTCAGCTGTTTCTGTGGGTTTCTCCAGTCTGGTCTTGACACCTTTGCTCATCACTCTTCCCTCTTTACAACTGTTCCCAGGAGTTCAGTTTAGTGTTTAGCTGTGGGTATCTGCCTCTGCTTCCATCATCCACTGGATAAGCTCTAGGATGCCATATAAGGTAGTCGTCAATCTCATTATGGTGGAGGACATTTAAGGTAGCCTCTCCACTACTGCTTAGATTGCCAGTTGGTGTCATCCTTGCAGATCTCTGAAAATCTCCCTAGAGCCAGATATCTCCTCAAACCTCTATTATGGTATCTCTCATCATACTTTCCTCTATTCTTCCCCTGACTCAACCATCCTGCTCCCCCATGTCCTCCTCTCCCCTCCTCTTCTCCCCATCTTTCTCCTAGCCCCATGCTCCCAATCCTCCCAGTTCAAGAGATCTGTTCCATTTCCCTTCTCCAGGGTACCATGTATATCTCTTTTAGGATCCCTCCTGTTTTCCAGACTCTCTGGCTGTGGGATTGTAGGCTGGCACTCCCCTGATCCATGTCTAAAATCCACATATGAGTAAGTACATACCGTGTCTATCTTTTTGTGACTGGGTTGCCTCACTCAGGATGATTTCTTCTAGTGCCATCCATTTGCCTGCAAATTTCAAGATTCTAGTTTTTTTTTGGCTGAATAGTATTCTTTTTTTTTTTTTTTTTTTTTTTTTTTTGGTTTTTCGAGACAGGGTTTCTCTGTGGCTTTGGAGGCTGTCCGGGAACTCACTTGGTAGTCCAGGCTGGTCTTGAACTCACAGAGATCCGCCTGCCTCTGCCTCCCAAGTGCTGGGATTAAAGGCGAGCGCCACCAACGCCCGGCTGGCTGAATAGTATTCTATTGTGTAAACATACCACATTTTCTCTATCCACTCTTCAATTGAGGTGCATCTAGTTTGCTCGGTCAGTGGTGGCAAAAGCCTTTAATCCCAGCACTTGGGAGGCAGAGACAGGAGGATCTCTGTGAGTTCAAGACCAGCCTGGTCTACAAGAGGTAGTTCCAGGACACTCTCCAAAGCCACAGAGAAACCCTGTTTTGAAAAACCAAAACCAAAAAAAAAAAAAAAAAAAAAAAACTAAAACAAAAAAACTTTGAAAATCAGTATGGAGATTCCTCAGGAAAATGGGAATCAGTCTACCACAAGACCCAGCAATTCCACTCTTAGGGATATACCCAAAAGATGCACATTCAAACAACAAGGATGTCTGTTCCACTATGTTCATAGCAGCATTAGTTTTAAAAACACAAACTCTTATTAACCACTGAGCTATCACTCCAGGCCCAGTAACTGTTGACCATATTTTCTTAGTCTTTCTTTCTTGTGGGTTTCACTAAAGAAGGGGCACGATTCTGTAATCTGTTCTCTTCCTTCATCCAATAGATCCATGGAGATATTTGATTTAGGAATGCCTTGCCTTGATTTAGGAATGCCTTGACTTTTTTTTTTTTTTGAAGTTTAGAAACGCTTTAAAGATGAATTTTAGCACATTTGAGAAAGTGGGAGTAATCCGTAAACAGGGTGAATGACCTAAATGGAGACTGTATCTAGCCCCAGGTTGTGATAGAAACTTACCAATATTAATTTCTTGGGTAACTTTGCTTTTTGAATATCTAGCACAGAGCAAAGATAAAAAGGTAAAAGGCCGTTTATTGATAATTATGTAGAGACATAAGTAATTTTTTTTCAATACTGTAAACAGCTGAACTTAAGAGGCAGGAACAATGGAAAAACGTCAATTTTCCTTTAGATCTACAATCCTTTTAAGGCAGTGAAGGCAAAAGGGGGTAAACTGGGACATGGAAAAAGTTTGTTTATCGCTAAAACCCTCACCGCTGACCCTTATTCCCCCCACTTTGCTTCTCGAGAGACCAAGATAAGTTTAGTTCAAAGTTTTACTTTTTGAGGAGAGCCACAATGGCAAGGAACAGAATCAAGGAGATTCTGGGCTCCGCAAACGTAACGCCTCCAAAATTTCCAAACCAGGGAGACCGCGGCGAGGTCGGCTTGGCGCGGTGAGAAAAGCAGGAGGGTAGAGCCGTCCGCCCGACTTCCGCCTCCCGGGGACTGGGCGAGCGGCGGCCTGCGCGTGCGCCGTGCGCTCCTCTCCCCAAGCCCGCCCCACTCCCCAGCGGTCTCCAATTGGCGGGGCGGGAAAGGAAGCCGAAGGAGCCGGGAACCCGGAAGTACTTCTCGGCCGAGGCCTGGGCGACTCTTTTGAATGGAATCGGGCTGATTCATCGCCGGTTCTCGGATCCAGGTCCTTGTTGAGTGTGAGGTGCTGCTCCCGCCGCCAGGTTGCTACAAGGCCAGGTAAGGTACAGACCGCGACCTCCCTCCCGGCGGCCTCAGCCGAACCCCGAGGCGGGCCCGGGCAAGTCCGGGAGCCAGCCGCACTAGGCCGCCGCAAGCCCCGGGCTTTCCTGAGTCACGTTGCCCAGTCAGGTTGCCGATGGAGTCCGGGGCCTGATGGAGAGCACCGGCCTCTTGGTCTTCACTTCCTTTGTCTCCGGGTCTCTGGCTGGGTCAGGTCTGGATGTCATCTCCTACTGCTTCTCCCTAGCTTGGGAGCTTTTTCTCCATCCACTGGCAGAACCCTGTTTATGACCATTTGTGTTCGTCTTCAGTTCCTCCTGTGTTGAAAAACTTCCATACAGTCCGAGGAAGCAAAGGAGAGAGGATGGACTGAATTTCAGTAGAGTGCGAGTTTTCGTCATCGTTTGTCCTTTGGGCTTAAAAGCTCCCAGAGAGGCATTGCTTTTAATCCTGAATATTTTCAAAATAAAGTTTGATTATTCCTGCTGTGCCATTACTTGATGTATTGCTCCATTTGAGTGCTGGTCTGTGGATTACATTTCCTTATTGAGCAAAGTAGAAACCAACTACTGCCCCTGTGGCTTGTTGGAACTCAGTTTTCCTGTGAATGGAGCTCAGTGTCTCTGCCAAAAAGAATAACTTCAGCATTTCAAAGGAGTCTTAAATTTTGTGACGGTTTGTTTACTTATGAATTTTTGTTTGAAGACAAGGTCTCTTTATTTATGGTTATAATTAGGTACACCATGCTGGTCTTAACCTTCCTCAGTTTCCCAAATGTTGCAATTTCAGGTTTGTGCTCTCACCTCAGCACAGAGTGGAAAAAAAAAATAGGAATTAAAATAGCAACAAAGTTCCACCTGATGGTGAACAAGACAGCCTGGTCTACAAAAAGAGTTCCAGGTCAGCAGGGCTACACAGTGAGGTCCTGACTCACGACAAAAAAATAAAAGCCCAAACAATAATAAAGATTTCTATAAAAGGCTTTAAAATTAGCAAAGAAATACAGTTGGAGTGTGATCACTCCCAGCACTCGGGAGGAAAAAGGTTAGGGAACCACCATAAGTTTGGGGCAGCCTGGTCTGTGTGCTCTGGTCATAGGCCAGGCAAGGATAAATGGAAAGCCCTTGTTGTCTAACTTCAGATAAAAGTATATGTGGGATTGTGTGTGTGTGTGTGTGTGTGTGTGTGGTGTTTTTATTGTTGTTTGTTTTTGAGATAGTGTCTCCCTACACAACCCAGGCTAACCTCCATCTGGTGTGATCCCCTTACTTCAGCCTCCCCAGTGCTGACACAGGAATGTTCCTCACCACCCAACCCAAAAGTTGGTTGTGCTGCTGCAAACATAACGTAATGCAAGCAAAACAACAAGACAAGCACTTAGCCATGTTGGAACTGGAACCTGTGATGCAGTGTCCGTGAGGATAATGTAATGCTGGTCTTCTTGCCATGTTGGCTCACTATATGGTTCATTTTGATGTTTGAATTGTGTGACTTAGGGCCTAGAGAGATAGCTCAGTGGTTAAGAGTGTGTACAGTGGCATTCACCTTAAATCCCAGCACTCAGGAAGGAGGCAGAGGCAGACCGATCTCTGTGAGTTTGAGACCAGCCTGGTCTGCAGGATGTTCCAGGACAGCCAAGGCTACACAGAGAAACCCTGTCTCATAAAACCAAAAAAGAGCAGAGGACCCAGGCTCTGTTCCCAGCACCTGTGGCTCACAACAGATTGTAACTCTAGCAGATGTCTTCAGGCAGATGTACAGATGTGCAGATACCAGCCCACCAGACAAAACTAAAAATGATACAGATAAATTATTTAACTTATATTGTGTAGGCTGTTGTATGTTAAGATATACAGTGACTCATAATTAACTGTAGTTAAGGTATGCTTGGTGAAAAACTGAAAGTTGTCTGGAATTTGTCTAAAACAAAATTAAATCTTGCCAAAAGTTCATGAAAATTTTGAAGTCATTATCTTTTATTTTAGTCTCGCCTATTGGATTTGTGACATCCATCCCAGCCTCCCTCCCCCCCCATCCTTGATAATAATACATTGCTTTTCTAGTCAAAAAGCTGGATTTTAACAGCGATGTTTGGGTTCATTGTCTTTTTATACTTGCCATAGAAACCATATACTTAGTATAGTACATAAGTTCAGAATCATGTGTTTGAAAGTCAGTAACAAGGGGCAGTTGTGCCTTTTTGACTTTGAGTATTACAGAAGTGTTTGCTTGCTATTCAGGGTGTACCTGGGAAAGCTTTGCCCAGGTACTGAGTACTCACACCATGCTTGCCTGCAGTATTAGAGAATTCATACTTTGCATTGTGATAGCTTGTTATCCCCATCTGTCATAAATGAAATCGTTGGGTTGAATGATCTCTATCAGTTTTAAGATCGCTGTAACAATGTTGGCATTTATTGAGTACCTAGCATATTCCTTCCAGGCTCTGTGTTTTAGACACTTTCTATCAGTTGTGATAACAGAGTTTGCAAGGTTACATATTTTGTAGTTGAACTTTAGGGACTAACTCTAGAAGAAAGTAGCTTATTCTATATAAGTCAGTGGGTAGATGGTGAAGTCTGTTTTTAAATCTCAGTTGATTGATGCTAGAGCTGTTCTTAACTGTATTGCTGTCTTTTCCTATTGCATTCTTTAATCTTGAGTGTACGAGGTAGTACTTTGCAAGTATTTTGCTTAAATGTTGTACTTAGTATAGTAGCTATATTTCTTCTAAGACTAAATTCTTAGTCTTCTAAGTGAGGGTTGGAGTGGAATCTTGTCCTTTAAATAATGGTTCAGAGGGAGAGGGAGAGGGAGACGGAGGGAGGGAGAGAGAGAGAGAGAGAAAAACAGGAGAAACAGACAGACAGACAGAGAGACAGATGGGGTTGGAGGAGGGAGAAAGAGTCTGGACAGCCTGCAGCAGTTAGTTCACCACTGTGGGTTCTGGGTTTCAAACTAAGACATCAGGCTAGGCAACAAGTTCTTTCCTGCTAAGCCACCTTGCTGGCTGCTCCCAATCTTGCTTTTTAAATTTTTGTAATTCCGGTACTCAAGAGGCGGAAGTGCTAGGATTGCTGCAGGTGTGAGACCAGCTTGGTTTACAAGGTTCAGGCCAGCCAGGGCCATGTGGTGAGACCCTGTCTTTTAAAAACCCAAGGTGGAAAAAAATACTACTGAAAGAATTAAATTAAAAATTCACTCTTTCTGGTTCTGATTCTACTGGATAAAAAGTAAGGAAAAAATTCCTACCTTCCACAAATAAGAGAATAGAGAATTGAAGATGTAGAACTATAGTGAGATCACAAATACAGAGTAGTTTAAAAGGATTTACTATTAGTTTAAGAATATTAATGTTTTCATAGAGGAATAGGAAGTAAACCAGTGAAGTAGGAGACACGATGATAAACCTGAATGACTAAACACTTTGTGATTTTTATATGAAGTTTATGCATGTTTGGTATGTTGGGATCCCTAGGAAAAGTTTGAAAGGTTGAAAAATCCAAATTAATGCAACTTAGAAGGATCTGCTTTTTAGGTAGCCATTGTTTCAAATCGTTCCTGGAAATAGTTGAGAAGTGATTTAAAGCTAACATATACATGTTCTAAATTTGCTGCATTTTAGTCAAGATACTGCCCTGAAAGGTTAGGTGGTGAGTCATCAACTTTCAAGTAGATGCTTGTTTTATGCTCTCCACTATAAGGGTAAACGTTGCTGTGTGTGATGGTGTAGTGGGAATGTAAAAACACTTCATATGGTGTTATCATATTGGGGTGGAGATAAAGGGCTCAGTGCTTAACAGTACTTGTTCTTGCAGAGGATTCAGGTTCAGCTCCCAGCAATGACATGTTGGCTCAAAACCATTTGTAACTAGTTCCAGGAGATTTGACACCCTCTTCTGCCTCAAAGGGCACCAGGCATTCATATGGTGCACATCCACACATGCAGGCAAAACACTCATACACATAAAAAAAAAAACTAAAGAAAATATCAAGGCAAATCCATTATGACTGGGCTCTTAAATCTTCAGCTTTTTGATAGGTGTAAGCTTAGTTTAGATTTATAAACCTTGTACATTGCTTCTGTTTCTGAGAATTGAAGGTGTTCTAGCCAAGTCGTGGTGATGGCTCACACCTTAATCCCAGCACTCAAGAGTAGAGACTGGCAGATCAATGTTAGTTGGAGACCAGTGTGAGGTCTGCAGTGTGAGTTCCAGGACTATCAGGGCTACACAGAGAAACCCCATCTCAAAAAACAAACAAACAAAAAAAGCGTTCTCTTTCATGGTATGGTGCACAGCTTAACTTGTGAACCTCTTTGCTGAATTCTGAAAATGTGTCTGTCTCCAGTGTGATGAGTTTATTTCTGTGACATACCTGGGGTTGTGAGGTCTACTAAATGGCTTCAAAGTGAGAAAGGGTAGCTGTTGTAAGATGGTGAGTGCTGTTGATGCATAGCAGGTAGCATTCCTTGTTTGCTTATTATATGCCTATGGTTGTGTTGAATGTTTCCTGTGTGCATTGGTTTCTTTATTCTTCTAAACAGCTGCACAAAACATATTCTCTTTTTTTCTCATTTTGTGGATGAGGAAATTGAGGAGGAGAGGTAACTGAGGAATATACTGCTAATGAGTATTAGAATCAGTTGGCATTTCTGGTTCTGTGGCTGCAGGATGATAGCACTTACCCCTCATATACTAAGAAGAGTAGTTGTCTCATTTATGTTATCCCAGTGAACTGTTTTTATTTCTTGCCCTTTTAGATCATCTTGCTAATAATTTAAGATAAGAAAATAAAGGGATGGTGAAAATGGTGTTTGAGATGTTTGTAAGGTGTGGTGTAGCAAATGTTAGTGCTTATTCTGTAGTTTCTGATTTTGAAAGTATAGATAGCTCAGGTGGGCAACATGCTTTGTGAGTGTAAGTAGCTGCTCACTATTCACCATACATGAACCTGGAATATATATATTTATATGTCTCTTGTGAAGATGAGTTCAATAGGAACTGGATCTGTAGTCCAGTAATAGAATGCTTGCCTAGCTTGGAAGAAACTCTAGGTTCAATCCTCAAGACTGCCAAAAAATCCTGAAAGTGTAAGTACAATTTTAGTAGGACTGTGTGAGTGTGTGTGAATAAAATAGACATAGTAAAATTTATCATTTTAACTATTTTTGATGTGTAGTTCTGCAGCATTTAGTATATTCTCTTTGTTGAATCACTGTGTTACTACCAACCATTTCCAGAGCTTTTCATTTTCCTACCTATAATACTTTTAAAAACATTGACAGCTCATGATTTTGTTGAATGAAGGAGAGCCATTATATTTGCCTCAATTGTAAGACATCTTAGTTTTAGAGTTATAAATACCAATTAGAATTGACAAATGGTATTACATGAAATTACAAAGCTTCTGTACAGCAAAAAGCTTATATGCAGAGTGAACAGACAGACTGCACAATGGGAGAAAATCTTTGCCAGTTATACTTCAGATGGAGTTAATATCTAGAATATATAAAGAATCACAAAAATTAAACACCAAAACAGCAACCCCCATCTCTCCACACAAACAGTGTACACACGCATAGATATACACATAAATTAAATAAAATAATGTCTGTTAAGGAAAAAGCAGGCAGTCAATAAATGGGCAACTGAGTTGAACAGAGTTCTCAAAAGGTTTTCAGCATTTTAGCTACTAGGGAAACAACAAAGTAAAACTACTCTAAAGATTTCATCTCATCTCAGGCCAGTGACTAAGAACGACAACAAACACCCATGAGAGTGCTGGGGAAAGGAAATTTATTCACGCTGTTGACAATAGCAAGGAAATAGAACAATGGAAATGTGACCCATACAGTAAAGTTTTATTAAATTAAAAAAAAAAGATTGTGAAATTTGCAAGAAAATGAATGAAGCTGGAAAATAGCACATTAAGTGAGGTCACCCAGGCTCCTAAAGACAGATACCACATGTTATTCCTCATGCTCACCTATCTTCTGATCTTCATAGATGTGTGAGGCTGAGTGTGGGTAAAGATCGGAAGTAGATGGGGGCTACAGATGGGGAAGCAGGGTCTGCTAGAAAGGAATGGGGACGTAATAGAACAGCTGAAGCGTGAGAGTGGGAAGGGAACCCTGGGAATGGAATGGTGTACACCGGGGAGGGCACATGGAGATGGGGAAGAGGAATGATGGGACGAGTGGGGGAATAGCCAGAGTCAAGTATGTATGGAAATGCTGTGTGTTCAGTTGTCTCTATTTCATCTAGTAGACTTACTGCGTATTTCATACAAGTGGAATCACATGTCCCCACTGCTGTGATAAAAAACAGTGTAGGAAAGAAAGGAATTTTGTCTTACAAATCCAGATTGCCCCGTCCATCATCATTTCAGAGAAGTCAGGTTAGAAATTTGAAGTAGGCAGTTCCTTTACATAAACAGTTAACAACAGAAATGAATGTATGTCTAGTACTCAGCTAGTTTTCTTCTCTTACATAGTCTGGGACGCAGTACTAGAGAATGGTATTGCCCAATTTCTGGGTGTATCTTTTCATATAAATTAAGGCAATCAGGGCAGTTAAGACAATCCCCTACAGACCTGTTCATAGGCCAAGCTAATCTAGATAAGCTTTTACTGAGACTCTGTTCAACTCAGTGTAATTCAAGGATATATCAACTTGGAAGTTAAAACCGTCACACATGACATACCACATATTAGGCCTGGCTCACCCCTCCCTCCCTTTCTTTCTACCCTGCCCTCCCTTCCTCCCTCCTTTTCTTCTTGTGCTAGGGATTGAACTCAGAGCTTTTTACACATCAAGGCAAACATTCAGTGGCTGGGCTGCATTTTCAGGCCTTACATGTTTTCAGGTTCAGCCAAGTTTTAAAATGTATCATTGCTTTGTTCCTTTTTATAGCCAAGTAATATTTCATGTATTCTACCATATGTATATATGATAGAATTTGTTTATTCATTGTGTAATGGGCATTTGGACTATTGCCACATTTTGGCTGTCATGAATACTAATGCTATACACATGAATAAAATAACGTGTCTTATTTTAAAGACCTGTTTTAAATTTTTGTGGCATATATCTAGGAATAGGAATTTTGTGTTTAAATTTTTGAGCAACTGCCAAATTGTTTACAGAACTCCTTGGTATTTAAGTTTGAAAAATTTTCCTTAGGATATTGTTATCTCTAGATGCATAGCCTCAGATTTTGTTTCTAGCAATGCTTCTCAATTGAGAATGATGGTGTCTTTCCAAGGGACATTTAGCAATGCTTGGAGGCTTTTTTTTTTTTTAATTGCAACTGTTAGCTATTTCTGCTAACATATACTGAGTAGAGGTCAAAGATTCTTCTAAACACCCTGTAACACATTGGACAGCCCCCACAGCACAGTGTCAGTAGTACAAAGTCAGTGCTGATTTTTGACCCAAACTTTACTGTGGTCAGAGACAGGAGCGTCTGCTACTTCGTGTTCACTTGGGATTTTGCAAGAAGAATGAAACTGTTTTTCCTCCGTGTTTATCCCTTTTCGATTGTGGGTGGAAAATGTAAATTTCTAAGTTCTGAAGTGTGTTCAGAGAGGGAAGGAGGGAAGTAAAGATGTAATAGTGTTTGTAGCCCATTGTTTTCTTATGGTTTTTGACAAGGTCTTTTTGTGTAGCTTGGACTGGTTTGAAACTCAGGGTCTCCTGCATATTTTTGAAAGATAAATCAATGCTTTGGGCAGCACAGTAGGAATTAAAGATGATAGCGTTACTGTGATTTATTTCCCTCTCGCATTTTATACACTTTACATTTTTTATTATTTTCATCATAGTTGTGAATAATTAAAGGATGAACTAATTGCAAGGATCCTGGAGGTCAAATTTTCAAGATAAAAGAAAAACAGCACTGGTAGTGTCCTATATGTACAAGTGTAAAAATTTGTATTGAACCTGGTTATATAATAAAGTGATTCTTGTTCTTTTTAATGAGTAAATATTATTCTTTGAGGGACCTTGAGGAATACTGAAAGCAATAAAATATCAGTCCTGAGGGTGAGTGGCAAAAGTAAAATACATAAACACAATGTATCATAGTAATCTCTATGCCCAGGAACTGTGTAGGTGGTAAATAAGTTCACGCTCTCAAGAAACAATTACTAAAAATCCGTTTTAGAGCTGGCAGTATAAGAGGGCCTAGCATGGGTGAAGCCTCCCGTCTCCAGCATTGGGAGAATGTTGAGTTCTATTTCATTTGCAGAACTTTGTTTCTTTTAAAGGTTCTTTGGGGTGGAGATATGAAATGTTCTCAACTCTCAATTAAGTACTTTTCTTTTTTAGGAGAGAAAGAAAAAACTACTTGTGAAAAATTATACCTTCCAGAATTAGCAAGAATTGGAGTTAATAAGAAATTTGTCAAATTCAATAAATTGAAGCCTAACACAAACAGGTAAGATTTAAGACTGTATTTTACCTTTAACTTGTTTTAGGATCTGATAGATGCTGTGTAAATGTATTACTTTTAACAGGCATCAAATTATGAATATGTGTGGTAACCAGATTTTAGGAAGTTGTGTGATTTAGAATATTTATCAATATATTTCATTTCCAAATGTTAGTATTTTTATAAAATGTGTTCATCTTAAGTGTTTTAATTTGTTAAATATCTTTTCTTGTTTGCTGAGACATCTAATTTTGTGAAAAACACAAGTTTGACCTGCCAGATTTTCTTTCCCTCTGCTCCCCACATCGCTCATGTATATTCACAGCATCTGGAGTCTGTGTAATCTCATTAGAAACAGCACAGGGAACGTAGACAAACTAACACAGCTGGGAATCGATTGACTTTGGCCTAGAGTGAATCTGTGTATATGTATTCTGAAGTGTATGTTGCCACCCCCATTGGTTCTTTAGTTCTGTGAGCTTGAAATGGGCCAAAAGAATTTTAGAGAAAATATCTTTACTTTTTTATCTTTATTTTTTGGTTTTTTGAGACAGGGTTTCTCTGTATTGTTTTGGAGCCTGTCCTGGAACTCACTTGGTAGACCAGGCTGGTCTCAAAATCACAGAGATCTGCCTTCTTCTGCCTCCCGAGTGCTGGGATTAAAGGCGTGCGCCAATGCCTGGCATCTTTAATATTTTAAAATATACAAGATCATTTAAAAAGGATTGTACTGAATGACTATTCGAGCTGAGGAACTTGGTGGGGATGTCATTTGTAATTATAATTAGGCAGATAAGTATGGTTGTGAAGATTAGATTTGGTCTGAAACACCAAATTTTCTTGCCATTTCATTTGTACAGATGAATTATCTGTTGTGAATCTCACAGACATGTTTTGTGAAAGAAAGTCAGACAAAAAAATATCTGTAGTTCTGTTTTTATACAATTTGAAAGTAGCAGAGCTATTCTGTGCCTTTACAAGCCAGAATGCCACCTGTCTGGAGTGGTAGAGACTGGAAGAGGGCTTCAGAGTAGTGTCTTGTGGCTTTTTAATACAGGCAATGATGTCATCAAACCGAGTGCTCACTTTGGAAGTGTCCCCAGCTTTATCTTTTATGAAGTTTTGATTGTTAAATGTTAGCAGGATTAAACTGTTACCAACTGGCTCAGCAAACATAATTGGGCAGAATTGTAATGATTTAAGTACATTATTGAGGTTTAGCTTGCAGCAGTTCTAGTTGGTAAAGCATGAACAAAAATTCCTAATCTCTTAACACTTAGTTTAGTTTATGTTATAATTGGTGATGATCTAAGTATACATTTAGTAAGAAGGTGAATTTTAAGACACAGTAGTAGTTTTTAAGTAAAAAAATGTTACTTTGTTTTCATTTTTACATACTTTGTTACACTGCTATTCTTGAATAATTTGATTCCTTGTTCTGTAAGTACAACTGCCATTCTTTCCTTTTGTGAGATTCTCATGCTTATGAGTTTCCTCTTCAGTTATTCCAGATGCTGGAGATAAACTGATACCTCAAAGTTGTAATAATTAACTCTGAAATTGTGATTGAGAATAGCAGCCATGAAGGGATGTGTATCTCCACAGCGTCTGAAAGAAGTCTATCTGCGTGGGTTCTAGAACACTATCATAATGCATTTAATGTTTACCCTATAGTATTTTCTTTTAATATAATGAGTTCATTTTTAAGAAGCCTTTGATGCTAATTCAGAGATCCGTAATCTACTCACAATGTCTTTCACATGTAGTTTTGATGGTAACTGACAAGCTGTAAGTTAATTAGCACAGCACTTACTAATGAGGATGTTAAAATTTAATTTAAAAGTGTAGATTTTTATTTGTACACTCTGAACAAATTGAAGGAAATTCAATCATACATATGATAAGCATTCTAGGCACTTCCCCCCATCCAGGTGCTTTATTAGATAACAATAAGAAAATATAATTAACTTAAGGATAGCAAAGTTTTGAAAGTATGCTAAGATTGCTTGTCTTTAAAACTGGGGATAACCCAAAACCAAAGCAGTGAAATAAGGTCTGTTAATTAGCATGGAAGACAGCTTCTTGAATTAATATGTGGTGTTAATTAACAGGAAGTCTGATGTTGTGTTGTAATTACCACCAATATTTTTGACATACTGAGTGACTGAAGGTGAATTATATAGATAGCAATTGAGTAAACACTTTTGTGCTTAGGAACATTTTCCTTTGTTTCTGTTTTCTAGAAATATGGACAGACTTCTTAGACTTGGAGGAGGTATGCCTGGACTGGGCCAGGTTAGTATGCATACTGTTTCCTAGTGTGTAAGCAACAAGCTTTTATGTCCTTATCCAAAGAGGAAGAGTCAACAGACTACCTCGTGGTAAGGGAGAACACACCTTATTGGTGGTAGTTGAATTGCAACATCTTCATGGAGACATTTTTATCATTTTTTCCTGGTAATAAGAATTTTTGTTGTTTAGTTGTTTGGTTTAAAATGGTGGGATATGTGAGCTTATAAAGTTGCCTTTTCAAATAAAAAACTTAAAGCATGTCATTTTTGAGTTATAATACAAACTTTTTAATGTTGCACATGACTATTATAACATGGCATACTTTGTAGTGGATCAGAAAATGAATCCATTGACTCAGTATGAAGTCCTAACTCTAAACTTATACCAGTAGTTATGGTGCATGGGTGAATTGATAATAGCTATTTTTCCTTTAAGTTTGATATTTTTATGCTTTCTTTTATACTGATAATTAAAATCAAACGCTCTTTCAGTTTTACTATCACTTATTTTGTTCAGTGCTACAGGGCAGTTGATTTTTGGATAGGTTTGTGTCAGAAGGTCTTCAGCTAAATAGGTATTTCTCTTTTGTTGTGTTGAGGCTCAAAGCCAGGCCGCACATGTGCTAAGCAAGTGCTTTGCCTCTTTACGTTCTGGTTATATTTCTGGCTATCCGTGTCCTTAATTAATGAACGGTATTAGGTATCATTCTCTGCCTGCAACTGTGGTCTCTTAGCTCCCAGCTTTCCCTCATTTATGTATTATTGGTAGTATTTTGTCTTCTTTCATTCAAATTAAACTGTATTTAGAGGAAGAAACATAGTTTTGAGACTTAATAAATGTTTTAAAATCATCTTACGATAATCTCTGTTAGGCCTGTCATGATTTGTCATTGATAAATACTTTTAGAAGGTGCCATCTTTTTGTGATTCTCTTTTATAGTATGCCAAAGCAGACTTTTGTTAGTTTTGAACATTTCTCATGCTTCTTTATCATTAGCGAGTTTCATCATGAGACTTAATATTCTTTGTGTAAATTCACTTTCTGTCATGGAGATACTACAAATTTATGTGCAAATTTTAAGGCATTGCTTTAGCAGAAATCTTTTTTTTTTTTTTTTTTTTTGCTTTAGCAGAAATCTTAACTGAAGTTGAGTCATATGTGAACACCGAAATAACTTTCCTTAATTACTAGATATAAATTGTTATTTATTTTGTATTACAGATCTGCTCTGAAAAATTGCTATACATGAAATACTGGTCACAGATTGAGTTATATTGTTTCACAGTCATCTCTGTACACGTTTATAGAATGTGGAAAACTCAATGTTTGCTAAGTGATCTCTCCTCTGGTTCTGATTTATTAGCTAGCCTCAGGGCTTCATTTTGTGTGTTTGTTGGAACTTTAATATGTGTTACTAAAGAACCTACTATTTCATGACTATTTCATTTATTTCCTCCACATTACCTTCTGAGAGCTTGCCATCTCACCAGAGAGAGGAGATAAATGAAATAGTCATGAAATAGTAGGTTCTTTAGTAACACATATTAAAGTTCCAACAAACACACAAAATGACTTTCCTTAATTACTAGATATAAGTTGTTATTTATTTGTATTACAGATCTGCTCTGAAAAATTGCTATACATGAAATACTGGTCACAGATTGAGTTATATTGTTTCACAGTCATCTCTGTATACGTTTATTGCTGTGTTCCTTTAGCAAAATAATAGTACTATGTTTTTCCCTGGGTTTATGACCTGTATCTAGTCCTAGGTTCTTGGCCACTTTAGCATTGTTAGGTATGAATTCTGTCTTATGAACTGGGCTTTAAGTCCAAGCCATAAGTGGTTGGTTACTTCTGTAACGTTTATGCCATTATTACACCAGTGTATCTTGCAGGATGGTCATTGTTGTAGATACAGGGTTGGTACCTGGGAGATAGTGATGATTACCTTTCTCATCAAGTAGCATGCAGACTACTTTCTGGTACCATGAATGCTCGTCAGTGGTGGGTGAAACGTTTAGATAGGCACGGAGTTCTCTGATTTTAATGATGTAATATTGTCTTTAGCAGTAGGTCCTTACTTTCAGGTTGTAGAAAGCAACCAATAGCCTTGACCATAGCTTGTGATGTTTGGGGGTTTTCATGCCTTTGGCCAACATATCAAAATATAGTCCATTCCTTACATAGGAGGTTTTGCTTGATTGCATAAGATGTCTAGTTGGAACATTAGTGCCCCTACTATTTGGTGGCTCTATTTAGATTATTCTTGTATATGTATATATTAGGAAGCTTCTACAGTAGTAGGTGTTTCAAATGGCCTTTAGTGTTAGTTATCCCTCCCAAATATCCCCTTTTCTCACATTCCCTTCCCTATTTAATCTACCTATTTTAGTTTCCCCTTTGTCTTGCCATAACAATGTATTATTCTGTTTCCCCTTCCTTGGGAGATGCTGTTCTATCCCCTAGTCCTTTACTCTATATCTAACCTCTGTGGTTATTAGGATTGTAATACAAATATGGAAAGCTAACATCCACATATAAGAGAAAACCTGGATTATTTGTCCTTTGGGGTCTGGGTTTCTAGCTATAACCATTCGCCTGCAAATTTTATAGTTTCATTTTCATTATCCTTTCATTAGTTGCTGAACATCTATGCTCTTTCCAATTTCTGGCTATTATGAGTAGAGCAGCAGTGAACATGCATGAGCAAGTGTCTGTAATAGAATGTAGAGTCCTTTGTTTGTATGCCCAAGAGTGGTATAGCTGAATCTTGAGGTAGATCCATTCTCAGCTTCACCACACTGATTTCCCTATTAGCTGTACAAGGTAGCTCTCTTTCCACCAATGAATAAGTGTTTCCCTTTCCCTGCATTCTCACCACCATGAACTGTCATTTATTTTATTGATCTTGACCATTCTGACTGGGGTTAGAAATCTCAAAGTAGTTTTAATTTGCATATCCCTGATGGCTAAGAATGTTGAATCTTTTAAAAGTGTTTCTCAGCTATTTGTTTTTTCATCGATTGAAAATTTTCTGTTCTGTACCCTATGTTTTTCTTTTCTTTCTTTCTTTTGTTTTTTTGTTTTTACGAGACAGGGTTTCTCTGTATTAGAGGCTGTCGGTCCAGCCCGGTCTTGAACTCACAGAGATCCGCCTGCCTCTTCCTCCCGAGTGCTGGGATTAAAGGTGTGCGCCACCACCGCCCGGCTCTGTATCTCATTTTTAATTGAGTTATTTTCTTGATATTCATTTTTCTTTATATATTCTAGATGCTAACCCTCTCTCAGACAGTGAATTGATACAGCTCTTTTCCCATTCTGTAGGTTGCTGCTTTGCCTGAATGTTGGTGTCCTTTGCTGTAAAGAAACTTTTCAGCTTCATGGGGTTCTGTTTATTAATTATTGTTCTTAGTGCCCGTACTAGTGTTCATTCTCTTGTGATAATGAGTTCAATGCAATAGTCAGCTTCAGGAAAACTGGTCTTATATTAAGGTCCTTGATCTGTTTGGAGTTGCGTTTTCTGCTGGGTGAGAGATACGGATTATTTTCATTCTTCTGTATAAAGCCATCCAGTTTGACCAGTGTCATTTGTTGAAGATGCTGTCCAGAAATAGATCCATGTATGTTAGAGCTTGGTTTATAATGTAGGTGGCATTACTAGTAAATCAGAAGGCCTACCCAGTAAATGCTGTTGAATTAAGTGGCTTTCAGTATTTGGGACAATGAAAATTGGATCCCATCCTATGTATGCACAAATAATCCCTATGTAGTTCTCAGTAGATTGAACCATATACATAGAAAAACAAACTATAGTTTTGGACAGCATTCCTGTTGGGTGGCTATTATCATCCCAAACCAAAGTAGGCATTGTTAGGAATGGAGAAGTGGAACATTTGTACCTTGACAGAGAACATGAATGGTGTAGCTGTTATGAAAAATAGTGTAGTAGGTCCTCAAAACATTAACAATAGAATTTCATTACGATACAGCAGTCCTATTTCTGAGTATAGGACCAAAGAATTGACAGCAAGACTATAGCATGCTTATCGGTATTTAAAGCAAATTTATATAGTAGCCAAAAGATGGAAACAACCCAAATATCCTCCAGCAGCTGAATGGGTAAATGGGATGTGGCATGTATTTATTTGTACCATGAAACGTTATTCAGCCTGAAAGGAATGAACTTCTGGCATATGCTTTAAGATATACTTAAAATTGGCCTGGAACTTGCTGTGTAGACCAGAGCTCAGATTTACATAAATCCACCTCCCTCTGCTTGCTGAGCATTGAGATTAAAGATGTGTGCCACCATGATGATACACACATTTTAAATGAAACAAGGCCAGACCAAAAAGGCCATTTTGTTTTCAAAGAAACTTTTATATCCTTCCATCCTTAGGACAGGGCAAAGATTACAAGTTGGCTGCCTTAGGGTGATAGCATTACTTTTTTTTTTTTTTTTTTCGAGACAGGATCTCTCTATGTAGCCCTGGCTGCCCTGGAACTTTCTCTGTAGACCAGGGTGACCTCAGACTGCTAGAGTTGCCTACTTCTGCCTCCTGTGTGCTGTGGTCAAAGGTGTGTGCCACTAGTACTGCAGGCAGCCTTATTACTAGTTCTTTTTGGGAAAGACAGACTTAATGCTTAAAGATTACCAGCAGAGGAAAAAGAAAAAAATGACTACACATTTAGCAGAGTGACAAATTATTAAGACAAAAAAAAGAGAGAAAAAAAACACATTTTGTATTTGTAAGGTTAAGGATATGCAAAGATACTTGGCATCACTAAATCAGATAAATGACAAAACCATTAGTTTTGTGGTGGCTCAGGTTGGTCTGGAACTCACTGTCCTGCTTCTGTGTCTTTTGTCCTGGGATTTCAATCATATGTAATCATCTGTGGTGGTTTGAATGCGAATAGCCTCCATAGGCTCATGAGTTTGAATGCTGGTCCCCAGTTCATGGAATTACTTGGGGAAGATTAGGAGTTGTGTCACTGAG